TGCTGCTTTAAAATATAAGAACGTGAAGGTGATTCGGTATCGATGCATCTCTCTTCTTTTACTTGATTTATTCATTACTCTTCCTGCATGATTCACTTTTACTTGAATTATCATCATCGTTCTTTTCAAACTTATTACACTTTTGAAGATGTTGTTTTAGTCGTGGAGCTTTTCCACTAACTAATGTTCCACAAGCAATACATTTCTGCTTAATAATGTTGTCAACTGTACAAGATTCAAAGCAAGCCCATACAGGGCCCTTATGACTTCCTCTTAATGTATTTTTACTCAAAATAATCAAATCAATTTATTTGATTATTTTTAATAGAAAAGACCAAGTTTTTTGCCGGTTTTTTTCGGAAAATACCGGTTTTTACCACTGGCATGGACTTTATTCAAAAAATGTGGATTTTTGCCAACCCTGATACTGAGAGAAATGTTCGGTATTTGTGATATAATTGTATGGTAAAATAATTATGATTGGGAGCTCCATTTTTCTAGTTATTACTGTCATAATAAATAATTATATTTATATTTTTATAAATAAATATATAATTAATAACAAAAATGACCATAAATCATATTTGTGATTATAATTGCATGGTAAAATAATTATGACTACGAGTCCCATTTTTATAGTTATTATTGCTGTAATGTATGTTAGTAATAATAATTATATTTATAGTTCTATATACAAAAAATATATCAAATCTTTATTTTAGACCGCATATGTGAGAAACACAATCAATATTAGAAATTTAAAATGCCTATTACGGTCGAAGCTGGATCTTCATTGTTTTAAATAATTCAATCTTGAATTCCTAATATACACTATATATATACTTGCATATATACCATATTGTATTCTTTTCAAATTGCACGTCGAATTGTTTTTCCGGACTATAAACGCAATTAAAACTACCCTAGTAATCGCGAATTAAATTGACAAGCAATTTAATAACTTAATGCTATCATCAAGCTATTAGAAAGATGTTAATATGTTGAAACTGTTAATAAATTTATTGCGAAAAATATTACCTCAGCCGGAACTTGAACCTGGATCTCTTGCATTCCGTACGAGCGTCCTAAGCCATTAGACCCCCGAGGCCTTATAATTAGTAATTCAAGATTTAATTATTTAAAGCAATGAAGATCCAGCTTCGACCGTAGTAGGCATTTTAAATTTCTAGCAAAAAAATATATGGTTGACACCGAAAATGACTATAAATTATAAAATATATTATATATTAAGAATCTTTATTTTAGACCGCATATGTGGGAAACACAATCAATACTAGAAATTTAAAACTGAAAAGACTACAATATGGTATATATACAAGTGTGTGTATATATATATATAGTGTATATATTATATAGTAATTCAAGATTGAATTATTTAAAGCAATGAAGATCCAGCTTCGACCGTAATAGGCATTTTAAATTTCTAATATTATATATTATAGTATTTGTAATTATAATTGCACGATAAAATAATTATAGTTAGGAATTTCATTTTTATATGTATTAGTGCTATAATGTTTATAATAATAATAATTATATTTACAATTCTGTCCCTCTAAATACACAATATTATTAATAATAAATATTATATAAATAAAGGGCGAATAATATTTATACAACATTCTATTCTATAAAAACATTGTTTTATAGAAATATATCAAAAAATATATATAGCGACTATAATATACGGACATTTTCGATGCCAACTATATATTTTTCTTGTATAAAACTACAAATATAATTATTATTGCTAATATCATTATTGTTTTAACTATTTACTATTACTATTACAGTAGTAATAATTATAAAACTGGAGTTTTCTCTCTCTCTCCTAACTATAATTATTTTACCACGTAATTATAATCACAAATACAAAATATTTTTCTCCTAACGCTACATATTTTAATACACATCTGTCTCTTGATCTATATAATCGGCATTATCTAACGCTCGGGCATCGGAGATATGCTACTAATTTCACGATTCCAGTTAAATCGACGTTTTAAGACAAACTCAAGGCGGAAACAAGGTGACGTTGCAAGTAAAACGCGCGACGTAGAAACGGAGTCGCGTAAATTACTGATATTACTTCGCCTCTCTGTTTGGAAGTGTCAAGTCAGACGGGTGATTAGATAATTATTTATATCGCGCGCAGCTTGGGTCTCGCATCGAAAGGAAAAGAAAAAAAAACTAAAAAGACTACCTCCCGGTGATGTTAAAATATTTAGCTGTTCATACACGCGCGCGTCCACTTCCGTTTCGTCAATTTCGTGACCCATATTCATCTATTCGAGAATCGGAGCGTCACGTTGACATCATAGGAAGCCGGAAGTGTGACGTCGCAGACACGAGGCGTCCGCTTGATTAGATCGTAGAGAAAGAAAAGAGAGAGGAGGTTAAAAACCGAGGAAAAATCATAAAAGAGAGGAGGAAAAGACCATGCGAAAATACAGGAGCGCCACTCGGTGAAGGATCAGATCAACGACCCCAGGTTGCCACCTGTGCGTCCTAAACCGGTCTCGTTTTTGGCGCTTGTTCTCGGTGACACACACCGTGGTACCCTTTTCACCCCTTTCTTCTTCCCTCGCCCCATCATTATCGGTCACGTTCAGCAGAATTTTTATTTTGCAACTATTAGAAATTTTCGTCGTGCAGATTGAATTATACGTTTAAATCTAGAAAAATAGTCCTATCTGAGAGCCAAGAAAATTTCCAATAATCATAAAATAAATATTCTGCTGAAGACGGCCATCGTAGCGCCGAATTTGAAACATAAGACGGGGAGCACAGACTCTTGCATAACACATAACACGTAATGCATAAGAAAGTGTACCCATCAAAATCCTTCCTTTTCTTCCTTTCCATAAAATAAAGAACTCTGATTGCTTGAATTTCTTATGCCTCATGTGTTATACGTTATGAAGAGTCTGTGCTTCTCGCTTTAGGCCTTTTAGGTTCTTTTTAGCTGAACTTCTTGTACAGATTATTTTTTTCTCTTTTCCTTTTCACGTTGCATGAATGAATGAATAAATGATTCATCATTTATTTTGCATCCTGGGATGATTCCCTCCCGAGAATATTACAAGTGTAGAAAGCCATAAAATGTGAAATAAAAAAAAATACCATTATATAACATTTCTATTGTATGAAAAATTAAGAAAGAGGAATAAAAATAATAATAAACTATAAATAGAAAATACAAATAAGACAAAGTCGATTAGTTACTGTACGAAACGCAGATAAATCGAATCGAATATGGAATAGAGACACAAATATCTGAAGAAGATAATCTAACAGTGTAAATTAAACAAGTATCTCTTAAAATCGTTAATAAAATTTGCTTTCGTACTTCACAAAGGGCAGTATAAGATTTTCAATTGTCTGAAGTTTTAGGTTTAATGCGCAGTTAAAGAACACAGAAAATGGAAACAGAATTTTTAATCTATCAGAAACCGTGTATTCTAATTTACACAAAATTATATTGAAATCTGTCAATACCTGCTCCTATCTGTATTTTTTAGACCTTCTACAACAAGCCATTACCTACCTGACAATAAGTCTTAAACCGTAAGAAATTGACCAACCATAGTCGACCGTCCTTCTCATATTCTGTGACTGATAAATCTCTTACAACTTAGGATTTAAAGTTTAGATATGACTTATTAAAGAGAGCCGATTTCAATCGTGTCTCAAGCTTTATTCTCGCTCTCGATACTTCGGAAAACGCGGCCGCCGAATATGCGACGAGCAACAAGTACATACGTCTATAAGCAGACACTTGACTTTTCGGAGTCGTCTAGAAATGCCTCGGTATCGCCTCTTTAACGCCGGACGCCCGGCGTCTTCGCGTCACGGCGCTCTTTAACGCGCGGTCGGTCGTGCACGCACGCATGCACACACGCACACCCACGTCTTCCACGTACATACGTACATATATATATATATATATATACACATACATGTCTGGTGTGCATGCGTGCGTGCGTGCATGCGTGCCTACGTAACGCATCAGCTGTTCGAGAGCGCAGGGACGGAGAAGGCAAAGAAGCGCGGCGGCGGCGGCGGCGGCGGCGGCGGCGGTTGCACGCTCTCAAGATGTATCGCGTTCCTCGACCCCGCGGAAACGAGGCTGACCGAGCGGCGCGACCTCTGGGGGGAGGAGGGTGGCGAAACCTCTGGGGAAGATGGCGGGGGTTGGCCGTCGTGCGAGGTTAGGAGGTTAGGTTAGCCAGTGGCCGCTGGACCGAGACGAAAGTCTCGCGGAGCCTCCGACCGCGAATGCGAGTCGATCTCCCTCTTTCCCTCTTTCTGTCTCTTTGTAATGAAGATTTCTCGCACGCGGAGTAACCGCACACCGGTGGTTTCCGTGCCACTCTTGCGAGACCATCGCCGGACCAAGTCGATAGAAATGGCGCCGCCGATCAGGCAAGCAGGCAGAAAATCAATCGCGTGCACGACACGCGGCGTGTTTTGACGCGCCTATTCTTCCGCTTCTTCTCCGCTTCTCGCGAGCGGATCGGAGCAAGTGAGCCTCGCGAGCAATCTCGCGACGCTAGAAGCCGGCAAAATGATTTCCTTCCCCCCCTCCCCCCCTCTACCTCGCAGAAGCGCGAGAATCTTTCTTCGGGTCTTCGCGATATTCAAGTCTAAAATTATGGACGAGCAAATTGTCTCGCCAAGACTGTAGGGACGTCGGCTTCATAAAATCTGAGATTGAGAAGAAATGGATTTAAAAAAAAGTAAAGAAATGGAGCGCGAGCGATGGCGACGTTACCGACTGAGATAGCCGGAAAAAAACCGGAACCCATGCATGCTGCACGTACTGCATTAACGCACAGTATGTACGTACATAGACGGGTGATTCGCACTCGTCGCATTAACTCGCATTATCGCGAGGGAGATAGAGAGAGAGAGCATGCCGTTCCGTTCGCGGTCGCGCATCGCTCGCGCGATTCGTAACTAATCGCTTGTTGGCTTACTTTTGATCACTCGGTCCGTCGTGGGGAGTTTCTGCGAATTGTTGGAGGTCATGCTGTATTAGGATAAATGACGAGCGGGCGCCTCACACTCCTACACTCTCTCGCTCAGCAGCAGGCTCGCCTGTCCCTCTCGCGCTGTCCCTCTCGCTCGCGCGCCCGCGCTCCGTCCGCGCCGTTATTTTCTTTTCCGCTTTCTTCCACCTCTTTCTCGCACCGTCGCTCGCCCTCCTCCACCACCTTCTCCTCTTCTTCTTCTGCTTCTTGTCCTCCTCCACCTTCTCCTCCTCCTCGTCGTCGTCCACTCCTCCTCTTCCTCCCTCTTGTCTCGCGTGCTTGTTACTCGCGCGAGATAGCGGCTA